ACATTTACCGGCCTGAATGTCCGAGAAATTTTCATAGAAAATATTCGTCCTTTGACAGGATTCGAACCTGCATCCTATACGGAACCGTCATTTACGCTGACTCGGCCACAAAGGAGCGTTCGGTAGGCAAGGTCGAATTTACTGCTTATAAACTTCAATCTTCCATGAATCTCGTACATTCATAACTGCTCTGGCGTATCAAATGTAAACAAATGACGTCATATATTAAGAAATGGACAAAGAACGTTAAAAAAAAGAACGTTAAACATAAAAATGTCTTTAATAAATAAATTGTCGGACTTTTTCCATTTCTTAATATATATATATATATATATATATATATATATATGGAGCATATCTTTATTCACGCAAGTTTCATTGAAATACTATACTAAATTTAACCCAACCAACTTAATCATATGCAATTACTCTTCTCCCTCAACAAAGACCAACATTGTATATCAGTTTAATTGCTCTTTATCCCTGACGCAAAAGTGGGTACATATGTTGGCTTGACGACTCCAAAATTATCAAGGCTCCCTCCACTCCATTCGTTGGATACAAGTTCTATCGCACAATATTTAAAGACACATTCCTTTCCACGTTGACAATACAAGAAAATACTTGTTGACAGCAACAGTATACTACACCAGGAAAACAATTAACAAAATCTTCATATTCTCGAGGTCCTCTATATCAAAAGCAACCAACCAACACTGAATTTATTACGAGTGTAGTAGCAATGCTTTAAAACACATTTGAGTTTACTAACATTTTACACAATGCTGCAACTTACCACCTCTGGTAACATTCCTTGCATTTGGAACGCTTGTTTACAAAACATCGTTGGCACAACAGTTAATTTTAATATAATTATAACAGAGCGCGTTCACGCGTGTTTACAAAAATCACCAACGATTACATTGACATTAAGTTTGTCACCCTGAGGATGATCTCGGAGGAGATCGAAAGTACTTCGTTTAACAAACAAAAGGGCGCCTTCTTTGATGAATGCCAACTTAACAACATCAAGAAGCTAATTAGAGAACTAGAAAGGATTATTGTGAAAATAAATAGAATAATACGTCTGTATTATTTAATGAAACATGCTTGAATATATATATATATATATATATATATATATATATATATATATATATATATATATATAGAGAGAGAGAGAGAGAGAGAGCGAGACTTAAATAGAATAGACGTCATTTTGTTTTACCTTGAGGGCACACTTTCGCCCAACACATTCTCAAAAGATGAACGTTGGATTCTAATTTTAAATAAACTATTTTAATCGTGTTCTCATTTTCCCTATTTACTCGCTATTTACTAAGGCATCTTGGTTTTTCTCCTGCTGGTCGCCAACGTTCACCTTTTGTTGGCCGAAATGTTCCCCTCAAAATCCAAAAAAAAAAAAAGAAAAAAAGAAAAATGACGTCCATTTTATTTAAGTCTATTTTCTTCTTCTGTGGGTGCAAGTCTTTATTCGTAAATGCAATACGCTAGAATACGCATTTATTTGATTATTGTGCAATATTACATTAAAACATGCATATACCCACTACAAAACTGTACATCTTGTTTCAACGTTAGAAAATGTTTTTAACGTTTCATCAGGTAGGCGATCACGATTGAAATTTTTTAAAGTTGAAACAAGATGTACAGTTTTGTTGTGGGTATATGCATGTTTTAATGTTACACTGCATAATAAACAAATATTTATTGCTGTACTTTTTTTTTTTATTACTGAGCCCTGTTTTAAATTAATGTTTTGAACGCTGAAAGCTTACTCTCCGTTCTTTTACATTTGTATATATATATATATATATATATATATATATATATATATATATATATATATATTCATATTCATTTTCATTATATATATATATATATATATATATATATATATATATATATATTTATCGGTCCCCTTTTGATCCATAGACATTTATCAAGCCCCTTTTGGGCCTCAGGCATTTATTCACCCCCAGCTATTACCACTGACTCCAAGGAGTCGATATCGACTGATTTGGAAACCTTTTTACAGACGTTTTGAGTCATCCGTACCCATGTTTCTGCATACCTGCGTTGATGTCCATAGCGAATCACTCACCAGGATGGATGAAAGTAACGCATGAAAAACATTCTTTATCGCTGTTTGCTTTGCTTTTATTAATATACGTGCACGTATTAATTAGCCCTTGTCGAGGTTGACCATAGGAGCAATAGCTTTCAGATTAATACTGTCTGGATAGATCAGGTAGAGTGTGTGATTCAAGTATAAGTTCAGCCACTGGTAGGAATCCTTCTAATATGGATCTCCACAGCTTCGAGATTTCCTACAAATCATTGTGTCCAAATACGTGTCTCTTAGCAACGTTTTCAGTGTTTCCATTTTTTGAAAAGAAATTATCCGTATGAAAAGTGTCAGGTCCAATGCAAGAACCTTTGCCTGTTCTAAATTGTGTCTCCTGTCGTTTGCTATCTTTTGCTTTCAAACTAAAGACTCCGCATGTTTCAGTCACATAGGAGGATTATTTCTTGTGGCTATCGAAAGAGTAAGAAAAGTGTAACTATTCATGGCTTGTTAATCATTCGGAGTGTCGGCATTCAATACAATTGACAAAATATCGTTGTGGGGTCGCTCGTAATTTGACCGCCCAGAATAATCACGTGATTTTCATTGAACCAATAAAAGACAACGTAGTTTCAACAAATAAACATTAATTTAATATAACAACAAGAATACAAGCAGTTGGCGATGGATTGAAAAGTAATGTCTTTTTGTTTGCGTTGAGAAAATTCTGAAATAAAATATAAATTCTCTTTGTGTACGTATGTGAGAAACAATCAAATGTTGTTATATGTCTGTTTGTATGAAAAAAAGTCAACACGTGTGTGCGGGGTTCATTGTAAAGAGGATACAAGAGATAGTTAAAATTTGTTTCTTACTGTTGGCGTTGTTGCCGTAGTCTGAAGCGGTCTCTTTGCAGTTTGTCAACGTTGTCACTTTTAGCATAAGGTCGTGAAGATCATAAGCGAGAGTTGCGTGGAGTTTGGTGACAACTGTGCGTATCCTGTTTGGGGCTTGATTTCGTATATTTTTATGTAATTTTTCGTAACAAAATCGGCTCCAGAATTATTTGTCTCTTCGTAATTGGCCCTAAAAAGCCACGTGGTATGTTTTCTACTACGTCCGCACGATATTTGAGCGGTATCAACTTAAAAACAACGATGATTTTCTGATTTGTATTCTATGATTTTATTGGTGTGTTTTAAGGTGTAAATATTTTTTTGAGTGGGACTGGTTTATAAATATTGTATTTGATATTTTAGTGGACACGACACACACTCGTCTCCAATGACCATTGTGACATGCTAGCGACCAGAACTGTAAGTCAAGATGTTTGACTATTGGACAACGCTCAACTTGAAGTGGTTTCATGGCGGCATCGATGTTCATGATTCATTGTATGCGCGGGTATATTTTAAGTGTATGTGAAAAGTATCCTTTACCGTTATTTATATAGCTTTTCTAAATAACTGAGTCCATTTGGATTACCAGTAAGCTTTGAATTTTTTTGATGACCTATGATCATATCTTTACTTATAAGTGGTTCAACTGCATCCTGATGGTAGTAACAACAGCAAGGAGTGTAATTGCATTTTCTTTCTTTACTCTATGCTTGTTTCTTTACATTCTTCTACTCAATTATGCCTTAGTAAATAGTACAGCTACTGTGGTTGTTGTTTGCTAGTTCACGGACATAATGAAGAGAATCGAGTTGAGTCAATGTAAACGGATGAAAATATAAAAGTAACTATCGCCCCGATGTGAGTGTTGCATATGTCTCTATATGACAGCGTAAACTCCTGTCCTGCTAGATGACGTGATGTGACTTCTGTCTGTCTTTAATTTAAACGTACTACTTGATTGGCAACTAGGTCTCACCATTTTACTATTGAACTAGCTAGATCCAACCGTATGTTCTATTCTAATAGTTTCTTTTCTCGCACTTCTTGCCTGTGGAACTCACTTCCAGTTCCCTGCTTCCTTGCTACCTACAATCTTCAAAAATTCAAATGCAACGCCAATCGCCTTCTTTTGTCTTCCTGAAACCTGTTCTTTTATTGTCTTTTCTTCTCACTAAAGTTTTCTCATTCTCTTTCACTCCCAATAACCTCTTACGTCTTAATAGCACTATCACTTTGCTTGGGTTATAATGCTTAAAAACTGAATGTGCATCTGGTGGAGAAGGTAATGCAAATAATCAATCGTGTCAAAAGTGGCTTGCGAAGTTTTATACAAGAGATTACATGCTGAAGAATGATCCTTGGCCAGGGAAACCAGTCAATCAGTCAGTCAGTTATGCGCCATGCGTGATACACGCTTAGGCGATCATGTATCTTTCGATACATGACTGACGAGGCAGATTTTTTCCCGCAGTATCTTGCACTATCTTTCTACGTAGACCACTTGCTACAAAAATATATTTGAAAACATGGCTCTCCACAACTTTCTATCTCGCCTAATTATATTCAGCAGCAAGGCCTCTGATCAGAAGATTTTGAGGAGCGTGGAACCACCTCTTATTTGCTATTGTTTCCAGGTCCAACCTGACTCAGGGTGGTAGCAACTGTTAGGGTCCCAGCTATGGACAAATAGTGAACTCTCAAACTGGGGTCAAAACATGAAAATATAAAAATACATTAGAACAAAAGCCCCAGCAATATATTTTCATAGTAAGAAACAAAAAAATAAAAATATACCAGCGATATAATTTGGGAAGAAAATTACCAAAGCCCATGAAGAGTTGAAATGGCGACGAACCCCCCACCCAACCCAAAAAAACCGAACCAATACTAAGCCACTGAGTGGATCTGGTGTGAGTGAGCTGATCTCCACTTAATACAACCAGTGCACCAGGTGAGGAAGTCCGCAGAAGTCACGCAGACAATCGTACCTTGATCTAAAAAGACTATGGAAGAGAAACACCGGTTCCCTACGATCACCGAAGTTAAGCAACGTCGAACCAGATCAGTATCTAGATGGGTGACCGCTTGAGAATACCAGGGGCTCTTAGTTTGGAAGTGCGAGTAATATAAGGGGATTACATTGAAACACCGTACGATCACTGAAGTTAAGCAATATCGAGCTTGGTCAGTACCTAGATATATGACCGCTTGGGAATACTGTAAACTAAGTGGGTTGTATAATGAATAATGGCACGGAATTGTTAATCGGAGAGCCGCGTTCTAATTCCACTCGACTTTTTTATATTCACTTACGCGCATATAGCCTCGGGAAAGGTATGATTCCACCTCTTCTACCCTCCAACTATGGGTTAATTAGTAAGACTAGTATCACTAAAACGGTATTATCTCCAAAAATAAAATAAAATTGTGTAAAAAATATATATTCAGATTTCGGCATTAAATGACCCATAGAGCTGTTGATATGCCGTTAAACAAAAACATCCAACCTAGCTAACAGATTGGAAAAGATCAAGAGAGAATCATGGCCACCCTGACAACAGCAAATCTGAAAACAGAATACAGAGGAGAACGCCGTTTTACTGAAGGGATCTGCTGTCACTTGACCTCAAGTAAAGTCCCCATTTTTGTTGTGTTGATCCGATCAGAAGAGAGAATTCGTTTTTAAGTTTCCTATATCATAGAATCATAAGATTGTGTTGTCAGTGTCCTCTAAATGGGAGGACCTTCTTACCTTCAACATCGACATTTGAAACCCTTGATGGTTGGCGAGGCTACTTCAGTTAACTGCTACTATTTGGTAGTAAGTTTGATACTCACTAGGTGCCCCATATAAAAATTCGAGATTAAATAACAAATCAGTCAACCGTAACCATAAATCACTCAGCCACGAGGCATTTGTCATTATTATAAACGAAGGTTATTCTTTGCGTTTCTCTCCGTTTTTTGAATAAGAAAAAGAAGAAAGGGGGGGTAAGAAGAAGAAGAAGAAGATGATGATGATGGCGATGATGATGATGATGATAGCGATGATGATGATGATAGTGATGATGATGATGATAGCGATGATGATGATGATGATGATGATGATGATGATGATGATGATGATGATGATGATGATGAAAAAGAAATAGAGAAATGGGGCACAAGAAGAAGCACCAACAGGAGGAGAAAGAAAAAGAAGGTAGGGAAAAGAAAAAAGAAATAAGGGAGGAGGGGATGCGGAGAGGAGGATGTGAGATGGAGAAAGAAGAAGAAAGAGAAGGGGAAAAATGGTAGAAGATAAGGGGGAAGAGCAGGAGGAGGAGGGACAAGAAACAGAAGTGGGAAATAAAGAAGAAGAAGAAGAAGAAGAAGAAGAAGAAGAAGAAGAAGAAGTCCATTTAACACGCACGTCCACCCACCGACTGCTGGACAGCTAAGCCTCTTTGACACTTAAACATATTTTATTGAATATTGTCAAGGTTGATAATGAGGGTTATTAGCTAGGCTATAACTTACTGGAGATTACGAGAAAAGAAAGCAATCTCGTTAATATAAAATTCCCGACGACAAAGTAAAAAGAACCCCGAAAACAATGTAAACAGACTTGTTATGAATCGAAGGAAGTGTTGAAAAGTCGGTGCTTTAATTGTAACAAAAGACCCAGAAGATATGAATGGGTTGATGAAGCCGAAAGAAGTGACAACGGCACTAAAAAAGAACAAATAGCGAAAATGTCATTGTTCGCTTAAGCAACTGACTAACTTGCCAAAACTGAGACGATCCTAAATTCACAGATAAGGTGGCGGGTGGGGGGTGCAATGAGGAAAGCAACGGAAAAGACTAGAGAAATGAAAACCATTGTATCATTCAAGACACAGAGAGAGAGAGATACAACAACAACAATAATAATAATAATAATAAAAATAGAAATAAAAAGCTAAATAAAAAAAGTCTGGAGAAATAAAAAAAAAGTTTAAAAATTATAACGGGTGGTTGAGAAGGAAAGCGGTTGGGTAGGAAGTCTGTGTGACAAGAAGGTAAAATCCAGATCCCGACGACGGCAACATGGGTAGCGAAAGATAATGTTAAAATTAAACTAAAGAGAGAAAATGACATAACTCTGTATATGTGTCTGTGTGTGTGTATGATAGAGAGAGCGAATGAAAGAGAGAACGTTTGAGAGAGGGGAAACGAGAGGGAGAGTGGGAGAGAGAGAAAGAGCGAGAAAGCAGAAGAGAGGGGAAAGAGCGAGAAAGAGATAGCGAGAGAGAGAGAGAAGAAAAGCGAGAGGGGATGAGAGGGAAGAAGTGTGAGGAGGTAGAAGGGAAGAAAGCAGGTGAGAGAGGCGAAGAGCGAAAGAGGGGGAGAGAAGCGAAGAGCGGAAGAGAGAGAAAAAGAACGAGTGTGAGAGAGGGAGAGATAGAGAAGAAGAGCGATAGGGAGAGCGGGAGAGAGAGGGGAAGAGAGAGAGAGAGAGCTGGCGAGAGGGGAAAGAGTGAGAGAGAGGAGGAAGAACGAGAGAGAGAAGCAGCAGCAGAGAGAGAAGAGAGAGAAAGTGGCAGATAGAGGGGAAGAGGAAGAGAGATAGGGGAAGCGTGATAGAGAGAGGGGGAAGACCGAGAGAGAAAAGAAGTGCGGCAGAGAGAGGAGGAAGAGCAAGAGAGAGCTGGAGGGAGAGGGGAAAGCGAGAAAGAGAAGAAGTGCGGCAGAGAGAGGGGGAAGAGCAAGAGAGAGCTGGAGGGAGAGGGGAAAGCGAGAAAGAGAAGAAGTGCGGCAGAGAAAGGGGGAAGAGCAAGAGAGAGAGAGAGAGAGAGAGAGGCAAGAGATGTGGTAGGGCTGATTTATTCTCATTGTTCGAAGAAACGACAAAATGGCGAAGAGTCGCAATTTCCTGTCATCAGGACTCTGCCTTGTCCCCGATTGTGACACACTCTTGTTGCCTTTTGTGCGGCTGCATCACATTGTGGAACAGAAACCAGGTTGTCAGCTCCATTACCCGAGATCGCTCGGCGGCAGAGGCGGCAGCATTTAACACACAACAAAGACACCCGAACGCTCAACTCAACTCTCGCTTCAAAAGTATTACTCTCGTTCGCCCACACCCACAAACACACCCCAACAACAACAACAACAACGTCAACTGATTTTGTTTCCTCATCTTCTTCCCTCATAAAATTCTATCTGGCGATGAAGGTTGCTGACAAGTACTTAGTTTTGCGTTTCTATCATCTGTTTGAAAAATTCTTCATTTCTCATTGCAGGTTTTTCATATTACGCAGAAATTATTTACAATGCACACACACACACACACACACACACACACACACACACACACACACACACACACATATATATATATATATGAAGAAAAATATACAGAAAAAACAAACAAAAATCTTAATATGCAATTATGCTGTATTAATGTTAATATAAAGTCAACGTCGGACGTTTCGGTCTATTTTATTTTAGACCATCATCAGGACATTTTCATTAAACATAATTAACATTAGAACGACGTTGACTTTATATTAACATTAATACAGCATAATTGCATATTAAGATTTTTGTTTGTTTTTTCTGTATATTTTTCTTCATACTGTCGGATCTATATCCATATATTTGCTTACATATATATTTATGTATATATATATATATATATATATCCAGTCGAATTCATTACATTCACTTAGGTGCTAATACCCTTGGGGAAGGTATGAATCCTCCTCTATTCCTTCCAGCTATGGCTACATAGCAGTACAGACTGGATTCTAGAGCCTTGGATGGCAACTGGTCTAGGAGAAGGACAACTCTGAATTCAAAACAAGGGATTCGTTTGTGGATGTTGTGGCACGTAGTTCGCTAGGTCTCTGTATTTGGCCCTTAAAAAACTGGGGTTGGTTCTGCACAAAACCTTCACCAATATAATCAAATCATATAGGCTGTCGGTTCCTAGAACTGACTTGCTTGACCTCATACGTCGAATACGACAAAAGAGTGCCACACACACACACACACACACACACGCACACACACACACACACACACACACATATATATATATATATATATATATATATATATATATATATATGATTGGTGTATACGGAATAAATTCCAATAAGCAACAATTACTATTCTTAAAAGAGTGCTCAATACATAGAGTAGATATAATTATTTATTTAAAATTATAACATATATATGTTATAAAATCACTAGTGATTTTATAACATATTTATGTTTAAATTTTTAAATAAATAATTATATATATATATATATATATATATATATATATATATAGATAGATAGATAGATAGATAGATAGATAGATACACCTAGTGAGGCAGACAAATTTAGGTTTCATTTGGGATCGTCAGGGAAAGTCGGCCGACTTTCCCTGACGATCCGCTTAGGTGAAACCTAGGTAGGTTTGTCTGGCTCATTAGGTTTATCTAGGTCTGTTCTACGGTTGTATTGAGCTCTTTTGTTAGTTCGTTGTTTACTCGTATCGGGGTTTTTTCTTAGGGCTTCAGACCTGCATCTGTGCGATTTTTTTTGTCAGCAGAAGTTCATGTTTGTAGCTCTTTCTTTTTTTAAAACCTTTTTTTCCCTCGAGATTGATTTGATTATTGGCAAATCAAAAATTCGAGGGTTTTTCGAAACGAGTATTTGTATATATATATATATATAAATAAAGAAATATAGTCTTAAGGTGTGCTATATTTATGGGATAAAGTGCTCAATATCAGAGATAGAGCGTGTGTAAATATAAAAGTGAACATAGAAGTCAATACTTAGAGGCGACAGTCTGTTTCATGCTATATGCAATCGTCAGGCCACATATGCTGTTATTTTTTGTATATATATATATATATATATATATATATATATATATATATATATATATATATATACACGATACGTTACTTCAAATTCTCGAGACCTACGATATCAAAAGCAACCAACCAACACTCAACAAAATTTATTACGAGTGCAGAATTAACGTGTTAAAATGCATATAGCAAACATTTGCTGCCATTTCGATCAGCTCCATTTTTGGGGCTTGCTTGTTTCGTAAAAAAAATGTAAACGGGGTATCTTTTAAACATCACAGTCACAACAAAATACAGATTTTATCGACAGTTACAATGTGTGTCTTTGTAATTCCCCCCTTAAAGGGGAAACGCTGTTACATAAGCTGCAATGATCAAAATACAAGTATATGAGAATTCAAGAAACCTGACAACGTACCTTAGTTATAATATTTAATGCTTTAATGTCAGGGTTAGACTAAAATAGAATTCATTCTAGCTAATTTTCCCCTAGGGAGGGGTGTTTGGCCAGTTTGAACCTTCTAAAACTCTTTATTCTACATTCAACACCATCACTTGATAAGACACCAGAAGTAATGAAACAAAATGGCTATTTTTGTAGTGATTGTATAACATATTTATGGTATATTTTTCGAATAAATTACATTTGCTCTACTCTATTGAGCACTCTTTTAAGAATAGTATTTTTTGGTTAGTGGAATTTATACCGTGTACACTAATCCTATACTTGTGTATATATATATATATATATATATATATATATATATATATATATATATATATATATAGGGAGAGTTTATAGTATTTCCGACGAGAGAAAAGTGTGTATATTAAAAAAAGAGAGAAAACGTAGACGTTTTTGGTTTTAATGTGGATTTTTTTTTTTAAATCTATATTATGCTTTATTTTCCATAATTTTGCTACACGCGTTTCCGGTCTCGTGACTTTCACCAGGCAAAGAGTGAATGTGGAAATATCAACGCGTTAGTTGCTCACAGTAATGAGTTCGGCGGATAATTTTGGTTTTGATTAAAAAAAATACTATTTTAATTAAAAGATAAATTAATTTACTAAGACGAAAGATAGATTACATGACCAAAATCATTTACTGAAAAGTTTCCTTCTTGCAACGAAACGCGTTTTTCTTTTTGTCATTTCACTAGGGTGGTTGTAAAGTAGCTTCCTATTTTATGTATGAGTGGCTAGCCACGAATACTTACAACACCTTGTCACTTTTTTCTTTGGGGTTAAAGGAGCAAGTCTACCATACCAAACAAGGAGGAACTTGAAAGGCGAGTACAAGAAGTTATGTCTTCCATACCACAAGAGTTCTTGTTGAAGTCAGTTGACGCCATTACTGGGCGGCTCGGAAAGCGGATATCAAAATCTGATGCCCATATCGAATTTTAAACAAATCTTCATGCTAAACGCTTTCCTCTGATATCCATTTCTTCAAAAAAAGGCCGCCTGACAACTGCGTCCAGCATTAAACAGCCTGTCGCCTCTGAGTGCTGACTTCAATGTTCACGTTTATATTTATATTTACATACGCTCTATCTCTGATAATGAACACTTTATCCCATAAATATTGCACACCTTAAAACTATATTTATATATATATATATATATATATATATATATATATATATACAGTGTAACCCGGATATAAGAGACCCGGATATAAGAGAAACCCGGATATAAGAGAGATTTTCTCTGGTCCCAAATTAGAGAGTGTTAATGTATATAAAATAGACCAAACCTGGATATAAGAAAAACCCGATATAAGAGACTTCTTCTCCGGTCCCGACAACTCTTATATCCGGGTTACACTATATATATATATATATATATATATATATATATATATATATATTATAAATTAATTGATTTAAAATATGTCTTTTTCGCTATACAGTTCTAACCATGTTTCAAAAATGGAAGCTAAAAGCTCCGAATTCAATTTTGTAATTAAATTAAAGACATTAGTTCCATTTCATCCTCAACCGAATTTTGGAGTAAATTTTAAAATTACTGGGTTTTAAAGACACAGCAAAAATCATAATTCACGTTTCCATGGTTACAGGTAAATCCATTCATCCAGACAAGGGGTGGTTGCGTGTTCATTATCGCTGTATTTTGATGTATCAGTTATTAGTTACGATTTGGTAGGGGTAGGGATGTATTTTTTTAATGAAATCTGACATCCGTTAAATGTATCTTTCTTTATATATATATATATATATTCCTCGCCGATAACTCAACTCTGAGTTTTATACCCAACGTAATCTTCAGATACTATGTTTTGAGCCTGACCGAAAAGATGCAGTTATTTACCTGGCAGCCACCTCAGGTGAGGCAGACTGTGACGCAATTTCCTTTTTTTTGTACGGTGTGTCCATACGCGTGCCTACAGTCCAAGGGCTGAAACTGTCCAGTCCTCGGAGCCACTGTCACACTGATGTCGATTTTAAATCGACTCCACCTCTCTTGTTGTAAAGCGGAAGGTGCTACTACCGGGTCTGAATCCTCCAGACCAAGCGCCTTCTCCCATCTCAAATAGAGAGAGTGCTGGTACTATCTTTTGATCCCGGTAAAGTTATTTACTTGACCTTCCCACTAAGGCAGAAGAAGGTGTTTCTTATGCGGGGCTACCCATAAGCATGTACATGCATTTAGGCCAAGAGTACCAATTTTACCGTCCTCGCAACCACTGTCACGTTAATGTCGATATTAAATCAACTTCACCTCTCTTAATGTAAAGAGGATGCTGATGCCGCAGAGTTGTAATCTCCGACACCGGACGCCTTCTCCCGTCTCAAATGAACAGATACTACGCTTTGAACCCTACCAAAAGGCCGAAAAGGGTTATTAATGCGTGACAATTATGTAAAACATTAAAACCCATTTGGTTGTCATAAAATACTTCTCCAATTGCTGTATCTGGTCCTTTCTTTCTACAAAGATTTAACAAGTCTACACAGGTTTGCTAATTAAACAATTTCGGAAAACTTGTCATACAAGGCTTTACATCACTGACTTCGACATAGGCTTTGTACATTTACGGATTGATTAATAAAATATCGAAGTATTGGGATTAATGGATATACGTTGTATCGATTGTCAATATGTTTTCGTCAGCGCACACAAAGTTGATTGATAACGTTTGCATATTTTTCTAAATAAACTTTACGCATAAACACAATACGTGAGTCAAGTCCGTCAACGACAATCAATATATTAGGGTGTTCCTTATTACTGTTAACATTTCTCTTAATAGATCAGGTGGTGGTTTCCCCTACAAAGGGGAAGCAAGTTCGAACGCTACCGGAGAGGAAATGTTCTTTATTAAAATTTTGCCAATGTGCATGCCAGTAGGCATAATTCACACTGTTTAAATAAATATTTAACAGGGCGTCTAGTCAAACACTAAAAATAACATTTACAGTAATAAGAAATGTTTCCGGATTAAAAAAAAAAACTTAGATATTAAATCACACTATTTAAATAAATAAATAAATAAATAAACAGAGCGTTTACTCAAACATGCGTATCAACTAAAAATAACGTTGACAGTAATAAGAAACGTCGAATTAAAAAAAAAAAAATCTTAGATATTAGGGTTTTTCAGTCATTTTCGTTTGAATTGAAACTCCCCAATTTACAATGCTGAGCCGTTATCCATTACACCACCCGCACATCCTGAAATTCCCATGCGGTCACCCTTCTATTTATTTATCGGACTCAATGTTGCTTAACTTCAGGAACTAGTGTTTCAACATGATATGTCCGTAAGCTCAGTAAATAAGACTACTGCTACTAATAATGAAATATGAAAACTCAAGTTGAAAGTACATGTTTGCTGATCGACATTTCATTCTCAGTCAGCAAAAACACGTCTTTGAGAACATTTGAGAAACTAAGTAACCTCGAAACAGAAATCAATAAATTCCTCTGAAGACAACAATTGCTGCCAAGTATGATCTGGCGCTCCTGCTATATATTTAAATATTCTTAATAAAATCCAAAGAAGAATCTTCAATGTCATTAGTCGTAACCTGGCATATCGGCATCAGTCCCTTTACCATCACCCTAACGTAGCTTCCCTGTAACTTTTTTCTATAAATACTAACACGGTAATAGTTCTGATCGTTTTTTTCTATTGTGGTTTAATTTTAAAAGTTCTTATTTCCCCACTGCAGACAAATAATTAGGAATTCATAGAGACTCAGGTATTGCTAAATCTTACTACACAAAACAAAATACAACTAAAACAACAAGAAAAGTGTCATCATCAACAACAACAAGTACAAAAATAATAATAATAATAATAATAGGTTGCACGATGTTGACACGCACTGAATATAAAACCCGACATGACAGAGTGGGCCAATATCTCCACTGGAAAATCTGCAACTTCTACAGGAAGAAAACTGAAAGAAACTGGTATGAACACCAACCAGACCCGGTTACGGAGATAGGACCTGTTACAATTCTATGGGACTACACAATACACACTGACAGAACAATCAAAGCCAACCGCCCAGATAATGTTATTAAAGACCACAAACAAAAACGGTGCCTCCTTATTGATATGGCAGTCCCTGCTGACTGCAATGTAACTTTGAAGATATTCAAAAAGTTGTCAAAATACAAGGACCTTGAAATAGAAATCTCGAAAATGTGGCATATGGGAACATTAACAATCCCTGTTGTAGTTGGAGCCCTAGGACTGGTTGGAAAAGATTGCAGTAGAATAATTGAAGGGATTCCTGGAAGTCCATGCCTCAAGGAGATACAAAAAAATGTTTTGACAAGTATAGCCCATACGAAGGGCTTTATCTATGTAATTTTTTTTTTTTTTTTTATCAGTGGAAAGTGTCATGATGCCATTTCTAACCTTAGGGACCCGGAAAGAAATGTGTAAACGCCAGAAATCAAAGAAAATAAAAATAATAATAATAGTAACAATGTGGCATTTCGATAACCTGTTGTGTAGGAAAATCGGGGTGGAAAGCTTGATTCCAAAAAAACTCGAATGCTGATCCACAAGCAATTCCACATACACATCAACCGTCAAACAAGTTTAATTTCGCCCAATACATGGCTCGAGAGCTCCTCAAGAAAAAGGGTAATGCTTAATGATATGCATGATATTAATAAAACAGTAATTGCTAAGAAATGAAGATTGAAGATCAGACGACATGATCTGCTATTTGATGGAAGCAGCCATCCTGGAGTCTGTTTTTTTTTATATATACTAAATTCACCCAATGCAAGGCACAAGAGCCACTCGAGGTAAAGGGTTACTGCATTGTGTTGAACGAGCGTAAGAACAAGCAAGAAGTGAAGTTCATGAGGTCATATTGCAAATATAACGGTTAAACCCAGATTTGAAGAGGTCAAGATTATAGTGATTGGGAAAGCATCCTACCGGGAGTCTGTTCCATACAGCAGCACTTCCTGAGGAGGAAGCTATCCGAATGGAACTTACTCCTTACTAATGGAATACGAAGGGAATGGAGAGGATTCATCAGTGTGTTCGTGGTTTGGCTGGTTTAATTTGATTTGATTTGTTTAACGACACATCAAATCCTTATGGGTCATTTAATGTTGAGATTTAATTTTCTTTGGGGCCTTGAAGTAATAAACATATGATATGTTATTCTGCTTTCACAATTGAATACATGGTAGATGAAACTCAGCTTTTGTGCATATACATGTGGACATAATTTCTAGTGGCGGTGATATGTGTGTTTTATGTTGTAGTTTTGTTGAAGTTATATTTTGAAATACAAATACTTTAAGAAAATGAAGGATATTATACGGATTAATGTCATGCAAGAGTTCTTTCATGTTTGTTAATTGGTTGGTTGATTTTGTTTCGTGGCATATCAACCACTATGGGTTATCTAATGCCGAAATTTAAATATTCTGGGCGCAATTTTATGGTTCCAACTAAATATATGCTATAAATAGGTATGTTGCTAATTTTATTATAAATAGGTAGTGTGCTAATTTTATTATAAATAGGTATTGTTGCTAATTTTGTTATAAATTGTTATTGTTGATAATTTTACTATAAATATGTGTTTGTCTACATTTCTGAGATGAGGTATTGTAATTATTTACATTGTTCGGACTGAAGAGGCATGGTACGCGGAACTAGAACAATCTAACGCGGTGAACGAAATAAAGGGTTTACTGCGAAATTCCAATCACCTGAAGAAGGTCGCAGCGTACAATGGCCGAAACGTCGTGAATATGGCAATAAAGATGAGAACAACAGTCCGAACAATGTAAATAATTGTGTTGTTGATATTTTTTTATATATAAAAATGTATTTTAATAATTTCATAATGATTTGTTTTTGTTTGGGGATTCAGTAATTGCCCATAGCTGGGATCCTATCAGGTGCTACCACCCGGGTCATGGTGGACCTGGGAGCAACAGTAATTAAGAGGTGGGTCCAGGCACCTCAAAACCTCCATTGTCCTGATGAAGAGGCCTTGCTGCCGGTTGTAGTTTATCGTCATACCCAGGACTGATATGGCTGGTCCCAGTTGCAAAGATCAGAATGAAAAGAATATAGGTCGTCAGAAAAGATTCTATGGAAGGCTCGGGACGTTTTCGTCTGTGAGAAAGAGGTTGTCGGGTGGAAAGTAATTCATCACCCACAAGGTCGCGTAGACGCTTTTGAACCTAGTGACGATCGAACTCGCTGTTAATCAATATCCTATGGATTCGTGATGTAATCCAAGCGACTTAAATCTAACATCTTTTATCCCTTAAAAAAACAAAACAACAAAAAAATGAATGCAGCTCTTTTTGTGGGTGTCGTCTTTGATTCCAAATGTTTACCCTTTCTCTGTCCTCATCCTATTTTTTAATTCCGTCTTTAAGCGTCAAACATTCTCAGGCTTCGTCATTATCGTCCTTATTGTCTTTTTCTCATTGTCTCCAATCCGGCAACGAGTATTGTTTGCATGTATTGGCGTTTTATGTCAGTTTTAACAAACCAAAGTAGCGTGTAATAATACGGGGGTGGGAAACTTACGGGTGAGGGCGAGAAAAAATCGTGAATAAGACTCGAACAAAAGCTCCTTCCTCAAATTTGCTAAGAGTGTGGGTAGGGGCTGTCGTCACCCCCACACAAATGTGTATATACTTGCTTGTACAATAATATCTTCCCGCGAGTGTGTTTAGAGTCGTGCGACATTTTGGAGTTACGAATAAGGAGTGCGTTTTACAAAGAAGGATGAATGAAGATGGGAGGAGGAGGGAGAAGAAGGGGGGAGAAGGCAGAGTTAGAAGACAACTGCAAAAGAAACAAAGATATTTGATAATGGATATGAACGATTACTGAGGAAAGTTACGGTTCGAACAGAAAGTGGAACATTGTTGTAATTAAAAAGGTAAAAGAAAATGCTGATAAAACAAGGGGATAAAGAACGAGGTAGAAAAGAGTGAAACTAAAAGAAAGAAAGAAAGAAAGAAAGAAAGAAGTAGAAAGATGAGAGAAAGAAGAAAAGAGAGGAGGAAAAGTAGATAGAAAGATATGGAAAGTGGTAGAAAATAATAAAATGTAAAGAAGAAAGAACGAAACAAAAAGAAAACAGAATGAAAGCGAAATAAAAAGAAAGTTTTCTTTTCTTCGTTTCCTACTTTCTTTGAAAGAAGAGAGTAAATAATAAATACAAACAAAAGAAATGGAAAGTTGTAAAGAAAAGGAACGAGAAAGAAAAGGACAGAAGGAATGAGGGAGAAGGGATGAAAATGAAGGACAGAGAGAATGAAAATGAACTAAAGAAAAAGAGAGAAAGAGAAGAAGAAAAAGGGAAAGACAGAGAAGGAAAAAGAGAAAGAAATAAAAAGCGGTAAGGAAAAGAAAGAATGAATGAATGAATAAATGAAAGAAAGAAAGAAAGAAAGAAAGAAAGAAAGAAAGAAAAAGAAAGAAACGAATAAAATGAATAAGAAAGAAACGAGGTAAAACAGAAAGAAAGAAAGAAAGAAAGAAAGAAAGAAAGAAAGAAAGAAAGAAAGAAAGACAATTTGGGGGTGGGAGTAATATGAAAGAACAGTTCAGAAAACAAATGACATCTTGAGTCGATCGTGGAGGCTTTAGTGATATGACTTTTAAAGGGTAACCAAAAATGAATAACAT